GGGATCCGAACCCTCGGCGGGAGCACTGCCGCACTTCCCAAGCGGCGCACTGTAGCAGTGCACCACCGGGCCGGCCCCCATAATTTCACAATTTAACAAAAAGTTTAAAATCCTGGACAGAAACAATCCTGTAACTTGNTGGGATCCGAACCCTCGGCGGGAGCACTGCCGCACTTCCCAAGCGGCGCACTGTAGCAGTGCACCACCGGGCCGGCCCCCATAATTTCACAATTTAACAAAAAGTTTAAAATCCTGGACAGAAACAATCCTGTAACTTGTTACAAACACAATTCTCCTTATTCCTTTTTACCAGGAGTTGGTCTTGGGCCGATGAATGTCCCAGTTCCTAGTGAGACACATTCTTTGTAAAAAGCTTTGTGGGTAAGAAAGGTATTTGATATCTTTTGTTTTTTGGCATTGGTTCCCATTTTGTTCAGGAGACAGCAGAACATAGGGATTTGCATGGAGGGCAGGCAGCTGATCACAAAACACGTGACAATCACAAAGGGCTGAACCCCTTCCTATGGAAGTGTCTCCAGAGCCTGTGTGGGCAGCTGGGGGTGGGGGCGGGATAGCAGCTGGGAATGCTGCAGTCAGGGCCCCAGCTGCCCAGCAGGTCCATCTGGTGGTCACAAAACCAGCCCTGGGCCCAGATCAGCTCTGGAGGACAGCAGTCTTTCTGGCCAGGGGAGATAATGGAAAAATGGGTTAGTGCTTTCTGGAGGCTTTGCCAGCCACTGCCAGTGGGGACAGGGAGGAGAGCACGGCCCTCCTTAGGCTGAGCAGATGGCTGCCCCGGTGGCAGTGTAGATCCCCAGAGATCCCTGGTGGCCTCTGCAGGTAAAAGGCCAAGCTGCTGCCACTCTCCAAGCAGCCCACATCAGGCCAATCTATCCAATGTCTGAGAGTTTCCAGAGAAGGAAAAGAGGAGCCTCATTTTGGAGTATTGTCGGCCTGCCTGGGGAAGGGGATGGCCACATGGGCCTGCCCTCTTCCTACCACCTGAAGAAAGTGGGGCTGGGAGAGAAACAGGGCAGGGGCGAGGAGTCCTGGAAGCCTCTTCTGGAAGTTCGTGGGCTTTTCCCCAAGAATTCTGGAGCATTCCCCAGGAAAGCTGGAGTTGGGGGAAGCCTTACAGGCAGAAGTTCCCCCAGGGAGTGTTCAGGATCTGTCTGACAGACGAAGTGAGAGCAGGAACAAGATCAGGGACCTCAGGGAGGGAAAGACAGAGCCCTGGGGGGGGGGGGGGGGGGGTTATTGATAGCAAAGCAGTGTGAGAGTGCTTTGGGGGTGATGTGAATGTTCTATCTTGATAGAATGTTCATGGGTGTATGTATCGTTAAAACTCATCAAATGCATACTTAAAATGGATACATTTGATTGTATGTAAATTATACGTCAATAAAGTTGATTTAAAAAATCAGTTCCTCTGACCACCCCTCACAACCAGGTAAGGCTGCTGGTACACACGCCCACCACAGCCTGTATTTCTCTTCCACTGAACTTCCCTGAGTTTGTAATTATGTTTTTATTGGTTTCCTGTCCATTAATTGCCTCCAGACGGGGAGCACCAAGAGGTCCCGGATCCTGTCTCCCTCGCTCACCACTGATCGCTAACCAAGTGGCACCACATCTGCACACAGTAGGTGCTCAATGAACACTTCTTAAGCAAATGAATTCGGGAGCTAGTGAATGGAAAGGGCCGAGACCCAGACAGGAAGCAAAGGAAAGAGCAGCCTCTGGCGGCGGCCAGCCACGGCCCTGCTGCTAGAGCTCTGTGGACTGGATGACCTCGGGGCCCTGCCATGTGGCGCTCTGGGCCTGCCTGCTGAAGTTGAGTCTGTGCAGCTCCTTGGAGATCTCCAGGAAGGTCTTGCCTTTGGTCTCAGGAAGGAACAAGCCTGTGTATACAGCCCCACAGACACAGACGCAGAGGAAAGGAATGTAGAGGAAGTGGGACAAACCCTCCTGTGGGTTAAAAGAGACCCCGGGACCTGGTGTGGGCCCATTCAGCCCCACAAGGAAGGCCCATAACAGGTCACACAAGACCCCTCCCCTTCAGTCTCAGTAGCCCTAGAAGGAGGCCTTCCTCTAGGGTTCTCATTCTGACAGGGACAAAACCTAAGGCAGGGCTCCCCAGGGGTATGGGCAGACCTACCATGAGGAAGGGGAACCCCAGCCCGACCAGGAAGAGCATGGTCCACATGAGCACCCCACAGACCACGTAGGCAGCAGGCCTGGCAGTCTGGTCAAACAGCTCTGTGCTCAGGATCCCTGTCACTCCGGCTGGAAGAAGAGGCAGGGACAGGGGGCTGCCAGCCAGGGCTCCCTGCTGGCACCAGCCCAGATGTGGGGGTGGGGGTTGGGCCTGGTCTGTATGGGGGCCCCTTGGTGCTCTCTCCAGCCATTCCCTCCCAGAAACCTTGGCACAGGAGGGTCGGGGGTCACACCCACCCACCATTCACCCAGACGCCTGTCATCCATCGTTCCTTCAGCACAGTGAAGCCCAGAGCCCCTTGGCCCACTCACCTGGGCCAATGCCAAAGCTGAGGATGAAGGCAAAGATGCAGGACATGGCCAGGTAGGGCATCCAAGGGAAGGAGCTCTGCAGCAAAGCAGACAAGACGTGGGGTGAGGAGGGAAGCAAGCCGGACCCCGCCCCGCCCCACCCCGATCACTCCAGCTACCTGCAGGCACAGGGCCACTGTAAAGATGGTCCCCCAGCAGGTCATCAGGCAGTACCCCCCAATCAGCAGCACTCGTCGACCCACCCTCTCGATTACCACACTCTGCAAAGAAAAGGAGCCACTCAGTAACTGACGCATGTGCCAGGCCACCAGCCCCTTGATTTCCATGCGGGCAATGTGGAGGGGCTCATGGAGAAGCTGGTGATGGGGGTGGGACGCTTCAAGAGATTACAACGTTATTAATTTCCTAGAGGACTTTGATCAATTTCATTAAGTTTCTTAACCTCAAAATGGTGGTGCGAGTGCCCAGCAAACAGTAGGTGCTCAACAGACGCTCGCTAACTCACTGTTTTAACAGAGTGAGCTGCAGTGAAGAACAGCTGAACACAGAGGACTGCAGTCCTAGGAGCTTCAGCACTCGGGTGGTCCTCCCTGCAGGGCTAGCGGAGGGTGGGTCAGACTCACGCTGACGAAAGCTGTGAGCAGCTCGCAGCTCCCGGTCCCGATGATGGCGTACTGGACCTTCTCCTCGGCCATTCCCGACTCCCGGAAGACAGAGGAGGCGTAGGCGTACACCTGGGGGGCGGCCCAGGCGGCGCTGAGGCCTCGCCCCCTCCTCCCTCCCTCGGCTCCCGGCTCCCTACAGCACAAAGCCCCTCACACGATGGCGGGGGCGGGGGCGAGTCTCACCGAGTCGGTCCCGCAGAGCTCCATGGCGCTGCCCAGCACCACGATGCTTATCACCTGCCTCCGCAGGGCCCGATCCCGGAACAGCTCCCACGGGCGCTGCGCCCTGCGGCCCTGGCAGGCAGAGCGCTCCTCCTCCAGCTCCTCCAGCTCCGCCGCCACGTCCTGGGTGCCTCGCAGCCGCCGCAGCGCTGAGAAAAGGAAGGGCTGCTGAGTTCCCTCTCCACCTCTTTGGTCTCCTACAGTGAGCCCCACTCCACTCCACAATTTCTCCCCCGGTCAGCTGGGGATGATCTCCCTGGCCCCTTCATTTCCCAGGGCTGCTGGGAGGGTGGAGAGCACCATGGAGGAGAAAAGGCTTTAGAAATTCTGGGTCTGTGGACATATCAGACAGGACATGATGATGTGGCAAATTGCCATTATCATCCCCAATTTTTCACCCCTCCCTGTACCCACACCCCTTGCTATGTGATTTAGTTGTTCCTCCACTAAGGAGGCAAGTCTACATCCCTGCCCCTGACTCTGGCTCCGCTGTGTGACTTGCTTTGGCAACAGGAGGAGGCTGCAGTGAGGGCATGCCACGTTTCAGCCTCAGCCTTAAGGGGCTTTGCTCTCTTCTACTTGCTCATCTGTCATCATTGTAAGAACATGCCAGGCTAGAGCACGGGTCCCAGGAGGATGATGAGAGACACTAGGAGCATAGGTGGCCCAGCTGACCATCCTAGATCAGCCAGTGCCCAGCTGACCTGCAGCTGTAGGAGTGATCAGATCAGAAAAGCCACCCAGCCAGATCCAGCCTAGGTCAGCCAGCCACAGAGAATTCGCAGGCTTGAGCCAAACAACTGCTTCTTTTGTTTGCCACTGAGATGTTATGAATGTCCATTAGGCTGTGATAGAAAACTGATCTATAAATTGGCACTGGGAGTAGATGCTACGTTAATAAGGACCTGTAAGACATGGTATTGGTTCTAAGACTAGGCAGAGGATGCTGAGGAAGCTGGAAAAACGGAAACCCATGTTATGTGGTGCAGGAACATGGAAGAAAGAAAAGAGACCTAATGAACTTTTGGACTTGAGCAAAGGAATCTCCAGATGTTGAAAGCATGAAGTGGTTGCTCTTAGCTGAGTAGTTTCTACGCTTACTATAAGACACGAGACATGAGCTCAAAAAAGAACTGGCCAGTTTGCAAGCAGAATTCAGAGAGAACAAAATTTGATTAGATTTAACACATTCCAGAAATTGCTGGATTAGTTAAAAATAAAAAAACTGTTTCTCCTCTGTAGCCTCTCTGGCTAGAAGAATTCCAAATTAAGTTATAGCCTGAGAGCAAAGATCAAATCCAGAGAACTACCAGTAAGACCTGGACTCAGAGTAAAGATCAAATGAAGGGTGTGGCCTAAGGCAGTGCCTTGTAGACCCCACAGCCGGAAAAGGGGGCATTTAAGAGGCTTAATGGTGTCGGTCCACGGTAGCCTGACATGCTCTAAATACCAGTAATTAGGTCTTTAGAGGGAAGCACGTCTCAAAAAGAATTGTGGATGTGGCTTGTTGGCATAAAAATCAAATTCACAGAAAACTCATACTGATTTTGAGCAGGTTGTATTGACAAAAGCTCTGACACCTTGGACAGAAAGAGACTATGAAATAGAAAGACTTCTGTGCCCCAACTTTATATAGGAAGCAGGCTGAGAAATTTGTTCAACCACCCAAAGCAGCGTATTTTCCAGTGCTATCCTCAGAAGGTATGAAGGAAGATGGTGGAAAAGGAAAGACGTCTCAGAGGGTGGAAGTGAAAACCACGGAGAACTTGGGGAGCCCCTTTCAGGGCACAGAGCCAGGGCTTACTCAAGGAACATTTCCCATCCCCCAGGCAGGGGAACTGGCAATATTTTCCCAGGGGCACTTCAGAATTGTTGTGGATCTGTGACTGCTCCGTGCCTTCCCGGCCTCAGTACTGGAGTGACAGTGCTAGTTCTGGTTACCTCATCTCACTTTCACCACAGTACGCTGAATGTGGGAGGGGAAGACTTGTCTTTTTAGCTCCTAGGTCTCTGGATCAAGAAAAGGCACATATAGATTTAATGTGATCTTAAAATCCAGGACTTTAAGCCTGATGCCATGATCGGATGTGACTTTAGGGAAATCCTCAGATGCAACTGAGCATATGTGACACAGAGGAGGGCATAAATAATCATTGTGGCCATGATGACAAATTCAGAAGGGTATATTAATGGGCCTTGGTCTTCACCCTCCCCCCAAACCACACCCCCAGCCACCTGAGAGGATACACCTTCCCTTCATGGACTCGGCAGCATGACTCCCTTTAGCCAATGAGTGTTGATGGGCACGAGGGGACCAAAGGTGTGGAAAGAGCTTACGCAACTGGATTTGCTTTCTTGTGCCTCTGCCGTCACCAGAATAAGAACATGCCTAGGCCTGCCCATTGGTACCAATGGTGAGAGGAGAGACGTGTACAATGGAGCTGAACTGCTCCAGCCCAGACCAGCATAGACTGGCCACCTCCCACCTTCCCGACGCCATGAGCTGGCCCAGTTGAGTGAGTAAAAGATATGAGAAATGATTGTTGCTTTATGCCAGAGATTTTGTGATTATTCCTTCAATGTCCTTATTGTAGCCACAGTTAACTGACAAGATGACCACCACGCAGCTGGCGCTGGGCAGGTGAGGTCCTGTGCAGGTATTTCACCTTGCACGTGCGTGTGTGTGTGTTTAGCGGGGGCTCTTTCTCTGCATCACCTGGGGTTCCTAGATGGCAGTGGCTGTGTCTGATCTATCCTGCTGCCTTGGCATTTAGGACAGCCCCTCACAAAAAGTTTTGAAGGGATGTACGGATAGGTCATGAAATTGGGGCACACAGAGAGGGACAGCTTTTCTCTGATAAATGAAACTCAAGAAATGGGGACCTATGTGCTCCAGTGAGATGCACCCCTTGGTAAGGGTGGTCTGGGACCCAAGGGCAAGAACTCACCTGCCAGGCAAGCCTCGGTGTCTCCACGGTCAATGAGGAGGTACCGTGGGCTCTCCGGGAGCAGGGGCAGGGAGGTTAGCTGAAGCAGACCGGGCACCAGGCAGCTGGCCAGCAGCAGGGGCCAGGCCTGCGGGCCACCCAGGAGCTCCCTCGGGAGGCAAAAGAGAGGGCAGGCTAGAAACCTCCTTGCCAGAGTCCTACCCACCTCCCTCCCTCCCCCTCACCCACCTGCTAACCTGCCTGCAAAGGGTCAACACTGCCCTGTGCCTCTTGTCATGTAATTCTGGATCCAAACATCAAGATCTTTCTCACTCAGGGAGGGACCAAGAGACAGTAGGGCCACTGCCCCACCACAGCCCTAACAACTCCTCTTCCCAGGGGTCCAAGCTCTGCCCTCTCCTCTTTCTTCTGGGATGACCAGAACACACTCCCATTAAAAACCCAAATCTCCACCCTCTCAAGATTTGTTCTTTGCTCCCTGACCTGGAGAGGATAGAAAACGGCAATACACACTACAGTGTGGCTGACTGGTGCCCATTTTGTGTACTGGCCACATGGATGTGGACAGGGATTTGATGCCTTCATGCAAAGAAGCAATGTCTTAATCTACTTACTGCGTGGGGAAGAAATTTAGGCAGAGAAGGGTTTTTACTGGCATCCCTGAAACCACTCAAAGCAGATGGGTAAGGACACTTACCTTAGCCCAACCACCTGTCCCATCACGAGCCCCAGAGCCGTGAAGATGGCTGAGGTCATGGCCACGGTTCCTCGGAGCTCTTTGGGAGCACTCTCCCCCAGGTACATGGGCTGGACACTCATGCTCACGCCTGGACATGTGCATAGCAGAGGTACATCAGTCACCAGGCAGGACCCCGTGACACCCAGCCCCTCTCCCCCACCTCACTCGGCACTGCCCAGCCCCTTGTCTGCTGGATCCTGGCACCAAGGTCCACTCGCTCACCCCACACACTGTGAGGGGTTCCACCTCACCTGCTATAGGGCCAACAGGACCCCAACCCCACCCCTCAGGAGTTCTGAAAGAGAAGAAGTCTTTCTCAGATCAGCTCCCATCCTGGTCCCTTGCCACAGTCCCATGTTTGTGGAATCTTTCTAGGTCCCAACATTGTGACAAGTGGGAAGGGCTCTGAGGGGACCGAGTAGGGTGGAGTAGAGGAGAAGGGCAGGACCGCATCCTGGATGCCCACCAGCTGTGCCGGCTGTCATGTCCACGTGTTCACTGACCAGTACAGCTGGAGGCTCTCTCCCCGTCCCGGCTCCCAGGGAAGCACCAGCACTTACGCAGCCAGCCACACCTTCACTGCCCACCCCACATGGCGACAAATGGCAGAAGCGAGGAGGCCACAGTATCGGGCATCACACCTGGGAATACTGTAGGGCAAGTGGCTCTGTCCCCCACCTGACCTGGGACCAGTGTCTCCCAGGAACATCCTGCGCCTCGCTCGCTCCCCCTTCCTCCCTCTCTCCCTCCTCCGTCCCTCTCTCTCATCCTCCTCCCCCCCAGTGCTCTTTTTTCAAGCATTTAGGGAGATTTAGGGAGGGATTCCTTCTGTGCTAGGTACTCAGGTCACAAAGATGAAGGCTGACCTGGTTCCTTTACCCTGGAGAGTGGGCTGTCCTTAGTGACTGACTTCTAAAGAAGAGAATGTGGTAACACTGATGGTGTGTGACCTCTGGGGTTAGGGCGCAGAATGCACTGACGCTTCCTCCTCCTCTCTCTCTCCCTCTCTCATCGCTCACTCTGGAGGAAGCCAGCTGCCAGGCTGTGAGAGAATGCTCAAGCAGCCCCATGGAGAGACCCACAGGGTGAGGCACTCCCGCTGACGATGGCATGGGAGGGAGCCATCTTGGAAGCAGGTTATCCAGCCCCAGCCACACCTTCAGATGGCTGCAGTCCTGGCCGACAGCTTGAGCACAACTTCATAAGAGACCCCAAGCCAGAACCATCCAGCAGAGACATTCCAGGGTTCCTGACCCACAAAAACTGAGGTTATAAACTGTTTTAAGCCACTAAATTATGGGGTAATTTATTTCATAAGTATAAATAAGCAATATAGACATCAACACCTGGCTGTATAAACTATAGGGGGTCAAGAGGTGACTTGCTGACTGAAGCCCCTAAAAGCCCAGGTTGATGTGATCAAAATTCTGCTCCCTCACATGACAAGCTCCAGAAACTGAGACGTCCCTAACAGGCTATTATGCTTCTGTAGGAAAGATCAGAGACTCATCCTATATCCCTTTATATCTTGGCTGACAGGAAGCTCATGGCTCAGAGTGTTGCTCAAACACTGGACTCCTGTTAGTGTAAGTCCGGGGATATTTGTTCCCCCACCCCTGTATAACTTTTTCATTTTTCTATATTTACTTTAAATGTCTAGTTATATGAGCCTTTTGAGATAAAACATATCATTTTGCAAAAAAAGGTGGGCATGAATGAAAAATAAATCAATGAATAAATGAAAGAAGTAAAGGAATAAAGGGAATTAATGAATAAGGAGAAATAGAGAGGCAGGATGAGATGCCCCCCCCCCCCCAATACCTGCACTGACTCCCACGAGCAGTCTTCCCAGCATGATCATCTCAAAGGAGCCTGCTTTGCGGCTGAAGCCAAACAGGATCGCTGCAGCCACCACAAAGATGTTATTCACCAGGAGGGACGTCTTCCTTGGGAGAAGTGGAACACAGGCAAGAGAGGCTGTGGTTCAGTCCAGAGGGACCGTCTCTGGGAACCCATCTTTGCAAATCCAGTGAGCTCTGATCAGACACACAGACCTGTGTGTATGTGTGTGTACCATTCAAGGAGGCTAAGCTCTATGAATGGAAATGACCACCGGCCATTGTACCTAGGATCACTCATTGTATGCCTTGAGGGGCATATCCCATTCCCCTTCACCAGTATACCCCTAAATTACTCTCCTTTCTACCGGCACCACAGTTTGAAATGACAGAACTTATCTTATGGCTTTTCCCCTTCAGATTAAGCATTGTTCTCCCCAAACTCCTTCAAAAAATGAGGGAACTGACAGATAATTTCTCAGACTCAATAAAACCCTAGGGAGGAAGAACAGTGGCTTCTAGAGTAAGGAAGGAGAGGCAAGGAAAGCCAAGTACAGTTCGCTCACGTTTTCCTCCAAGTATTATAAAGTCACTTCTCAGAACCTTCTGGATGGCTGAATGTCCCAACACTTAGGTCAAGGGACAGACTCCAAACCAAGGAGGAGACACTGGAAATGTCACCATGATGAAGCATCAGATTTGGGCTCCTGATATTGAGCTCGTAAGTGCTGTCAAACAGATCACCCAGGAGAGCTCCCTGTGGATTGTATGGTTCACTGTACTAATAGGGAAACTGAACACCAGAGGAGGCCAGTATTCTGCCCAAAGCCAGAATATGAGTCAAAGCTCAGGTTTCCTGTGCCTACAGAATGGAAAATGACAGATTATAACAAACTTGATCCAGTAGTAACTCCAATTGTAACTATTAATTGCAATTGTAACAACCTATGATTTCCTCACTGGAATTAGTAAATACCATTAATAATAATAATAAATTATTTTGATCTGGTGAATTCATTTTGTTCCATTTCAGACAGACATTGGCCAGCCACCAAAAAAAAAAAAAAACCATAGACAATACCAGCAATACTTAACTTTCACTTGGCAGAGACAGTAATACACCTTTACCAACCTGCCTTAAGTATATAGCAGCTCTCTAGCTGTGGGCCACAACCTACTCGACAGGGACCTGTGCATCCCCCAGGGCAGCCTGCTGGCCCACCACTTTGATGAGCTCATACTGAAAGGGCCTGGAGAAGAGGAAGCAGCCAGTGCACCAGATGTCTTGGTAAGGTACAAGCATGACAAGAGTGGAAGATTAAAAATGAGAGAGGGCCTGCCATATCGATGAAGTTCCTGAGGTCTAGTGGACTAAGATATGTCAGCATATTTCCTTCAAACTGCATGACAAATCGCTGCATCTTGGTTCCCTTTAAGAGGAGGAACAAATCTCAAAGAGCTTCTTTTCATTTTGAAGGTAGCATGTACCACGTTGGGGGTTGTGTTCTGACACATTAACCAGGTGACTTGAAAATCTGGCAGCTCTGAGTGGAGCTAAGCAAGAGGAGAATTCTCTAGTGGGTCAAGGCCAAATTCAAAGAGCTCTGCCTCCTAAACTTTTTTTTTTGGTGGCTGGCCAGTATGAGGATTCAAACCCTTGACCTCCCCTTGAGCCTTTAGACCTAGGAGATCCTATGGTGCTTGAAGTGTCTATGGCAGTTAGACTACTCTAAAAGGAGGATCACAATGCACAAAATCTAAAATTTCTGAGTAGAGCTACTCTCCTTCAGCAAATTACTGTCCTTTTAATGATAAATAGCTCCTGGCCTTGTCACCAGGTCATTGTGGGGAATAAAACACCAGACCATGGGACACCAGGTGGCCATGTACCCATCATGAACTGCATGCCATATGACATGCCTGTGCTAAGGTTGAATGTGCCTGGTAGCACTCCATCAATGAATAAAAGTGATATACAACGAATTTGCCCCATGTTGGTTCCAGTTTCCCATAAGTAGGTTATTCACATCAGCATGGCCCTAAAAGATATTGAAGGAGTTAAACCCTTCCTATAAGACAGAATTTTGAGCATGGAATTTTGTCCTTTTTTCAAAGGGTTTGGTTGGACAAAGTCTTAGATGAAGCAGTATTTGAAGACTGGTTTCAACAGTGTAGGGAAAGGGTACAAAGATGGATCTCTCAGAATTGGCTCAGATCCTGAAAATATACATCTGTGTTCCTGCTCACCAGAAGTCCCCTGCCACTGCAGAAGAGACTCTTCATAATCAAATGGACAGGATGACCCTCTCTGTGGACAGCACTCAACTGCCTTCCTTGACCAGCCTAGTGCTTGCTCAGTCTGCTGATAAACAAAGCAGGTAGGGTGCGGGAACAGGAAGTGCACACAAGCTCCACAGCAGGGGTTTTTATCACCAGGCTGACTAACCAACCTGCTACCCCACCCAGCCAGCCCTGAGCACCCAATAATGGCAACAAATTTCAGGGCTCCTGTCACCTACCGGGTAGAAGAACTACACTAGATTCCTGCCACTGAGGATGGGACCGTAGTTTGGTGCACCTGGCACAGGCATATGTGCTGAATTCGAATTAGCCATTCCTCCCCTTCATGCTATGGCAGTACCATCATCTAGGGACACTGTACCCGGCACCATTAGATATTCAGACAACAGCTATTACCTCCTTCTTAGCAGGAAGAGCCTCACTTTTCTTTGGGACTGTGCCCTTACTCCACATGGTTCAGGTGTGAACCCCAATAGTTGAACTCAGTCTTGGTGATCCTGTTCCCTGTGCTAGTGCTATGGTTTGAATGTTTGTGTCCCCTTCAAAATTCATGTTGAAACTTAATCGCCAGTGCAATGGTATTAAGAGGTAGGGCCTTTAGGTGACTAGGTCTGAGAGCGCCACCATCATTGATGGGATTAGTTCTTTATAAAAGGGCCAGAGTGGGGCTGGCCCGTTAGCTCAGTTGGTTAGAGCAAGGTATTATAACACCAAGGTCAAGGGTTCGGACTCCTATGCCGGCCAGCCATCATAAATGAATAAATAAATGAATAAATAAGTAAATGGGCTGAAGGGAACTAATTAGGACCTTTCACCTTCTCC